TACAGGGACAAATAATGCATAATAAAAGAACTTTTGACATATTCAGAAAACAAACACACAATCCCATAGGTCAGATTTCCAAAATCACGGTTAAAAAGGGAAGACATTAATGGCAAGGCACTTGTTGAAAATATTCATTTGGTAACCACCTTCCTTTCATCATTTCAACTTAGCTCAAACCAGCCAAGGATAGAAAATCAAGTCCTCCTCAACAATCAGATCAGGAAGACAGCCAAGAGCTATGATATAAACCAGAGGATCCAGACAATTTATTTTGGATATGTTTAACGGGCAATGACCCATCATTATTTTTAGATATGTGTATGTCATTGTCATTGTTTTCCCTCTTTCAAAGGTAAATGGAGAAGAAAATAGTGACATATAATATTATAAATTCAGAGGTCAACAGAGTGCATGAAAGTTTTTGAACAGTTTTAGAGTTTTAAAATTTCCTAGCATGAATAGAGGTGGTGTATTCTGTAGACAGCCTCAAATAGTTTTGAAGTCCAAGAGTGAGTTTTTGGCATTAAAAAAATAACTACTTAGAAATAAAAAAAAAAAAAGAAAAACAGCAGAGATAAATTTCTCTGAAGCACATAATTCAAGATACCACTGTTTAAGAAGGAATTGTGATACATGGAGAAGAAATTGCTGAAGATTTTGTGGCTTATCCATTATAGGCATGTAGCCACTGTAAAAATGACACCACATTAAGCTACCATGTACTTAATGCATCACAATTGAGACAAGTTATTTATGTAATCTTTCGGCTGAATTCATGAGAAATCATTAATAAGACTGCTCTGTTTAAGAAAAGATGCATGTTTACCAGCACAAATACCAGCCACCGCTGCACAGATTGCTTGAGAGTACAAAATAAAAGGCAGTTTTACGATTAATTCTTCATTAATTTCTACCCTTAAAATAGCTGTCATCAAAATTATTATTTGTGTGATGGCTGGAGACCTTAAATGATTCTTTGTCTCTTGTCATTTGTAATATTGTATTTGCAATGAATCTGTAATAACATGGCAAATATTTCAGTTACTTCCACATGTCTCAAAAAACATCTTTGATGCTACAGTTTTTCCTGGGTCAAGTTTTAACAATACTAATGTAGACATAAGAAAAGTGACACAACACAAGAGCTACTGCTAAAAAGCCAGTTTAGTACAGTCAGGCAGGTTTCAGTCTGCTTCAAAAGGTGCACAATGAACTAATTCTTTCTCCATCTTGTCCAGCCTGAAGAATAAAACAGGCAAAAGGGTACTGATGCATTTTTTTACATCAAATAAACCTGATAGATTTTTATTCTTATTTTGTAAGGTCATCCATCTTTCCACTCCTTTAGCACTGATCAAAACACAGAAGGGCTGGGAGAAGCCTGAAGTACATATGGAAACTGAAAAATTGTAAAAATATTATAGATTTTTAAAGGACATAATTTATCATATTAAAATTTAGTTACTTAATGATTGGAAGTCCTCATAAAGCAGAAACATTTGCAAGATGCCCCACCCACACTGTAGTTCAAAAGGAAGAAACTGGGTTGTGAAATAACTGACAATTATAAAACTAAAGCTTGCCAATGAATTATTGCCAAACCAATCTTTGTGGTGGGATTTGGTGAATTATGGCTATAGAGCTGCCCATTTCTTGTATTTCTTACATTACCTTTTTTTCTTCTTTTAATGGGAAACTTCATACATCACTGGCTGCATTCTGTGTTAGAAGTTGATTTTCAGTCCAACAGTACTTACATACAGTACATAGCAACAACAAGTATTCAAGTGATTGAAAACAATTTATCTATTTTACATAAACCCGTCTGGCAAAGTAACAAACTTCCCACTAATGGTTTTATTCTCCCTTGGGCTTCTCCTAAATATAGGAACTTGGAAAACTTGCACCTTTCTCCGTATCATTTGCTTCTGTGGCCTGACCATTTACACAACTGAGAGTTCCGCGATACAGGGTGTGGTAGCCCAACTACCTTATTTCAGTAAATGGGGATATTTGTGTTTCCAATTAAGAAAACCACCTCTTGAGGCAATGTATCCACAACAGAATAAAATAAAGTCTTCAGCTTTAAACCTACCTACAGAAGAAATTCATTACTTTGGCACGGACTCTTAAGCAGTAGCATTTGCTGTTACGCTTTCGAAATTTTTTTTTCCCCCCAATTTCCGTATTTTGTTAGTAAATGCCTTTTCCTAGTTGTTTCAGGAAGTAAGTGGAATTTGAAACTCTTAACTCCATTCTCATCTCACAGATAGCTTGGACCAAAGCATTTGGCAATGGATACTCTTTTTATACATTACATGCAAATAAGCATGGGCAATAATTTAAAGAAACTGCCAGATCAATTTTCTGTAGGGCCCTATCTGAAATACTCAAAACACTGTATCAGAATATCCTTAGCCCCTGCTTAAATACTCTCCAGTCCCTTGATGTTATAATACCTTTATTTTGCATTTATTTAAAAAATCAAAAATACAAAAAAAGCAAAAAGACACACTCTACTTTTCCTACCCCTTACTACTTGTCTTTCAAAAAGAAATCCAAGCAAAGTCTTTTCATTTCTCCTAATGTAAACAACAAAATCCAGAATGCTTATGTATTTCTAGCAAAATTCAGCTGTCTTTTGAAGATATACTGCTTCAAATTATACAAACTTTATAACACGTTGCTGACAGAGTAATAACAAAGCATTTTGTAAGAAAATAATCATTAAAATATAATTCCAGTGAACTGCAAAGTGTTTCATGATGCAATTCTGTACACAAAGTCCAACAGACCCTAGGAGAAGGGAAAAGGGCCCAAAACAAACTGAGCAAAACAAGTCATGCATTTGAAATGCATGATAAGCCTTCGATATTCCAAAGTTTATGTTTTGTTTAACTAAACTGACTATCAGCCAGATTATTCCACATGCTCATGAACTACCACTTCAGCTATTACTCCAGTATTGCAGTGGAACAATCAATAGCATCAGAACACCAAAATGCCAACAGAAATAAAAAAAACCCAAAATTTCAGCATGAGTTAAAAATATCTAAGTAGAAAATTCCTAAATTACTTTTCCTTTGGTTGCTACACTAGTACCATTATTATAATAGTACCACGTATATAGAAATATTCACAGGGAAATTCTGAAAGTGTTTAATCTTATTTTGCTTCTTCAAGGTTATTTTCATACCAATGAGAAATATTTACGCAGAGATTACCAACATACTGAAAAAGGGTGCAACACAGAGGAGTGATCGGTCATCCAGATAGCTAAAACTTTCACCCAGGCTCCCATTCTCCCTTAACTTGATTACTGCTGGATGAATCATATTTCACTGTCAAAGCCCTTTGCAACCTGTCGCTACGACCACCTTCATCTCTCATTCACCACAGAAATGCTGAACTGCCACTGTTAACTATACAGAGCCCATCTTCTACATTTTTAAAGCAGGTTAAGGTCCTGAGTTTTTTGCTCTTTGAGAGATAGTTTCTGAAACAAAGCTGTTCCAGTATCTTCCTTCAAAATCAGTTTTGATTTTTTTTACCTTTTCCCCCAGAACATGTGTTCAAGAATGCGACATTATTGCCAGGGCTGTTGACTAAGAAATAGTTCAGCCAATCCAACTGCAGGTTGTCACTCCCATTCCACTAACACCAGATTTCAGCTGATCCAATGGTAAGCAAATAAATAAAATAAACTTGGAAACCCACCACAAACAACTCCCCAAACCTCCTATGCCCCTAAATAGAGCTATGACAAGCAATGTCACTTAACTAGCTCAGTCTAGATTCAAATTACCATTTAAGGGACCTGAATATGCACAAGTCTATACAGCCTGGTCTGTGAGAAATGAAGAGAAAAAACAAAAAAGACAATTAAAAATCAATTAAAGGAATTATCATGTGTACAAGTATACTATGGCATTACCTTATGAGGACATAAGACATTTCTAGAGTTATCAAACTGAAACCTTTTGGAAAATATACCATGTGTTTCATAGGAAAATTCTTTTTTTTTTACTCAGATTAAAAAATGGGTAGATGATTATTTCACCCTTCCCCTCCTGCCCCTAATTTTTGCTATGGCATTCCTAGCTCGCAAATGTTTAGAGGAGAGTTTTCAGAGTCTGAAAGCAGGATGTTGGACTGGGTCTCCACATCACATACTTTGAAGGTAGTTCTTTTATTTTTGGGGGGTGGGGGAGGGTGTCATACTGATTTTGGCTGGGATGGAGTTAATTCAACTGAGAAACTAATACAGTGTTGCCTCTTGAATTTAGTACGAGAATAATGTTGGTAACAAACTGATGTTTCAGTTGCTAAATAGTGCTTAGCCCAAATCAAAGACTTTTCAGTTTCCCATGGTGGCAGTGAGGAGGTGCGTAAGAAACTATGACAGAGTGTGGCCAGGAGACAGCTGAGTCAAACAGGCCATAGGGATTCCACACCACAGATCATGGCCAGTAGATAAACTGGTGGGAAGTGGTCTGGAGGATGGGCTGGGCATTGGTCAGTGGCCAGTGAGCAATTTTATTGTGCATCCCTTGTTTCTCTTGAGTTTTATTCCTCTCTCTCCTTTTCATTACTATCATCATCATCATTATTCAGTTATTAAATTGTTCTTATTTTGACCCCAATTCTCCTACTCATCCCACTGCTAGGCAGGGGAGGATGGAGTGAGCCAGCAGCTGTGCAGTATTTAGTTGAGCTGGGGTTAAACCAAGGCAAGCTGCAACTCATGTAAAGCTGTGTTTTTAAATTTGCAACTAATTGGTCTGCACATTTCATAATCAATATTCACAAAGGTTTCCTTCTGCCACGGTGAAAATAAAATTATCATTCCTCGGTCATATAACATTTATATTCATGAGCAGTAAGTAAATATTTAGATTTCAGAGTGAGGGCTAGAAGCATCAGCTCTGTAACCACATGGGCAGTCCCTTAGGTACACTCTACTTACTTTTCTAAAGCATTCAAAGTCAAACACACACTGCAGTTCTACAAACACATGTATTTTATATACTACAGCAATATATCAGATCAGCAGATGATATTGCAAAATGAAAACAGTGGAATACCTGACTTTCCTTAAACCAAGCCTTCAATTTAAAATGTTCTCTACTACATCAGAGAAAGTAGCCCAAATGACAAAAAAGTCCTGTAAGAAAAATTCCACAGCTAGGAAGAGATAATTTGCATTAATATGTATACAGAGTGAAAATACTGGTCAATTGCTTATAACCTTCTTTTTAGCTTTAGCAAAGGTGAAGAACATGAGCTGTACACCTGTAATCATAAACTGAAAAGGAAAAAATGAATAGCTGAAAGACCCATAGCATTCTCAGAAACTTCTGAGATGTTCAATTTAAAAACAATAAATATTTTCACAACAAAATGCACGGTTTTCAAACCTGATCAGATCTTAACTAGACAGCAACTATGACACCAAATGATGAAGAAACAGCAAGCCTGAGGACAGCAAAGAGTTGCTAAAATGCATGTGCATCCGCTACATTTTATAGGTTTTACTTTAAATAATTCTCAAAACTGAGAAACTCAAAGCAAGATGAAATGTGAAATAGGAAGGCTACAAAACGGATGCTGTTATTTTGAATTCCCCAGGTACGGATTAATCCTTCAAGGAAGAGAAGAAAACCCACTGCTGAAACAACCGGGCCACGCTTCACATCAGCACCGGACGAGTACAGAAAGCAGCTCAAGGACCAAAGGGTCACACTCCCAACACCATGAGATGTTCTAAGTTGCTTCTTTTCCAGGTCGCCACCAGGCACCACGCCAGACCATTAACACGTATACATGCTGGCAAGGCCAAAAAAAGTTCGCAGATCACACAAACCTTGCCGAGAAGCATTTACAATCGATAACACTGAGAAGTAATAAAAAGCAATTTAAAAATTACCTCAGCCACAAGGGCTGGCCAGACATTTTAACCCTTTCCCACGGGGGCAAAACAGGAGGGTAGCGACCCCTCTCAGCACTTTACCCACCCCTGCACGGACCCGAGGGCAGCCCCAGCTCCCCCCGCCCTGCCACGGCACCGGGGAGACGGCCGGGGACTGAAGGGAGCCGGAGCAGCCCCCGCCGCCCCCAGGGCCGCACATGGGACAATAGGAGAGGCGACAACAGCGGCCGCGGCGCTAGCAGCAGCGACGGGGCGGGGAACAAAGGGGCGGGGAGGAAAGGGCGGATCCGCATCCGGGCTCGCCCCGCTCCCTGACGCGCTCACTCACCGATCATGG